CTGGCAATAAAAGGATCTGAAAGAGGAGCGTCAAGCCTCTGAAATGTTCCATAAAGCAGTCTTCTATTGACACGACAGCCTCTGGCGCTATAACAAGAACTTAACGACCTTTCATAAAATGGTAGTTAATGCCACCTGTTGCAACTGCTGGAAAGCACCTCGAAAATTCTTTTGAGACAACCAAAGTTGCCTGAGAAATGCAACACATAAAGACTGTTCGACCCTTCTTTGACAAGTAAATTATTCTAACAGGATATAAGTCCGCGAAAGGCTTCCAAACCATCATCAGCAACCTAGAGGAATCCAAATCCTCCAGCCATCAACATGTCCTCACAACAGCCAAACCCACCACCCGACCTCCCCTCCGTAACCTACACCAAACAACAAACCGACAGACTCTTCAACTTGACCCTCCAAACCGCACAAGAACAACTCAGGCTCGTCCAACTCCGCAAATCCTTGATCCGTCAAGAACATGCCGAGCAAAAAGCACGTCTAGACGCCGAGAGAGAAGTACGCAAAGAATGCATGGAATGGGAGTCGGACGCGAAGATTGCGCAGACCAAAGACACGAGTGCTAAGGAGCAGGAAATTATGCTGAGAGAGAGTGGTGTGAAGAGGCAGGCGGTGGCGGAGGAGAGTAGAGCTAGGGTTAGGAACGGGGAGAGGGTTTGTGAGAGGGAGGTTGAGGAGAAGAAGAGGTTTGGGCAGATGGCGGTGGATATCAATGTGGAGGAGAGTGTGGTTAGGTCGCTTTGTGCGGAGAATGAGAGTTGTGAGAAGATGGGGAGGGAGGTGAAGTATATGGATGTATTGGATGTTGCGCGTGAGAGAATTCGGGATAGGAAGTTGACTTGATTGGGGTAGGAAGAGCTAGCAGCTAATGGGGAGAGGGAAGACACTCGTCTTTTGGAAACTGGCTTTCTTTTGTAGGCGGAAATGGTTAGCCAATTGCATTGAAACAGAGAACGAGGACACTGGAAAGGTGGACGAGTTGACACTATGCTACACGCTGACCTAATACGTCTTTCCTAGACTCCATGGCCAACCAAATCGCCGTGCTGCCTTTCATCAACAACATTCTCCTAACTCCGAGCCCATGCATGTCTGCCCAGTCATTTCATTACGGTCGTGTGTCCCAGTAGGTAATATTTCCACTTGGCCATCAAGGTTCTCCCAAAAGTCTAGCGGTGATATCTCCCATGTATGCCTCCTCGAGCTCGTAGTCTTCTCCGTTATTCCGATCGATGCTGACAAAGTTGAATGCATCAACAACTCGGTCCAGCTCGAATCCCATGGCCACAAATCGGTCGATCAGGTCTCTGTTGTAGCCTTGATATCTAGCTCGGGTTAGCCAGATGCCACGACATTTCAAAGAATAACATACCTAGCTATCAGTATCCGCTCCTCTTCTTCTTGAGATAGAACCTTCTGAGATTTTGGCTTGGAAGAACTTGGCTGCGAAGCTGTAGTAACCTCCCACTGTGTTGACTTTGGTGCTGAAGCATGCTTGATAGCCCACTCTCGTGCAACCTTCTGGAACTGTTCTGGGTTCTTCATGAGCATGCTCGCTACCTCTGCATCTTGCGGATCCTTGGGTTCTGGTGTGCTCAGGAGGGACTGGAGGGATAGAAGGGCAGACTTGATTGTGAGGACTGGTGACCAAGCGGTTCCCAGAGTGTCGAGACAGATAGCACCCTAAATTGTTCTCAGCTTCACCCTTTTCTACAGGACCAGGTTATACATACTGTTTGACTGCTAACATTGGGGTGCCACAGCTTTGTTTGGAACTTCATGACTGGGGGGCGGAATGGGTATTCGTTGGGGATTGTGATGTTCACCACATAAGTGCCACCTTCATATGGGGTATCTGGAGGACCTGGGAAGGATGCATGAAGATGGGAAAGGTCTCCATCAGCTGCCTCGCAGAAGATCTTGGACTGGGTATCGTTCTGGATGTCTGCCAGCTCCTTGGCCACTCTACGCAGTCTGTTGGATGCCATGATGGGGGATTGGTCGTCGAAGAGAAGTCTAGCTTGAAGTTGAACTTTGACAGAGGTCAGAAGTAGTTTCGAAAATGTGTCCCTATTTAGACAAGGCTCGAAGGACGCTTGAAGGTCGTGGTCTCAGGATGTGTTACTGTTGGGTGGGACTCGAAGTTCGTAATTGGAGAGTTGTTGAAGTGAATGGATTCTCGTAGGGCAACTTTTCTGTTCTGTTGAATGTTAGAATCATACAAGAACACGTTTGGACGGCCAGACAATGTCTCGGGAGAGGGGAATAGGGGGCGTGCTGGCAAGGCAGTCACAAGAAGCCTTACCGTGAGAGCGAGCTGTGTTGGCGGGGTACTACTCGGGCGACTCGAGGCACCCTTTTCGAGAAGGGATGTGAATGAGAGGCTGGTCTGTCTTTGGAGTGGCTCGAGAGTGAAGCTGTTGTGTTTCCAGAGACAGGCCGACCCCTTGGTTGTAGAATGCGAGAGGGTGTTTCGACGTGGTTCCAGTGAGTGAGGGAGTGAGTGTTGTGTTTGGGACATTCGAGGCTGTGAGTGACGGGGATCGTTATCGGGACTTGATGCCTCAAAGTCCCGATAATCTGCCTGATATCGCAGGCACTAAGCGAGGCTGCCATTTTTAGCGTGGAACCATCCATGGCCATTCGCGTTCCCTTGTCGCCTGCTGCTGAACTCATCTTCATCCTCATCCCGTCAAGCTTCAAGCTGGCGCCCCTTCTATTACAAACACCAAACACAACCACTTTTCCTTCCATCAACCTCACCCCATCGATCAGACCGGGCAGGTCTCTTCGATAATCTACCCCCTCCCCTCCAGTCATAAAGGCGCTTGGAAATCGCTGCAGGCACGATGGTAAGCTCTTGTTGACACTGGGCTGTAGATCACTATTGACAGCATCGCAGGGAAATCAGCAGTCCGGGCTCGGAGGAGCTGGTCAAGGCGGAGACAACAAAGATGAGAAGGACAAGAAGGTACGAGATCGCTATTCAGCATGATGAAGCTGATCATGATGCTAATCGGTTGTTGTAGAAGGAGAAGCCCAAGTATGAGCCACCACCACGCCCAACAACTAGAATCGGTCGCAAGAAGCGTAAGGCTGCTGGTCCAAATGCGTCTGCCAAACTCCCCGCTGTCTACCCTACCTCTCGATGCAAGCTGAGATACCTTCGAATGCAACGAATCCACGACCATCTGCTGCTGGAAGAAGAATATGTCGAGAACCAGGAACGGTTACGAAAGGCAAAGGCTGCAAAGGAAGGAGGCGCTCCCGCTGCTGCTGCAAGTGATCCCGAAGCTCTTGATAGAAATGCCGATGAGCGTGGACGAGTCGATGATATGAGAGGTAGCCCGATGGGTGTAGGAACTTTGGAGGAGATGATTGATGATGATCATGCTATTGTTTCCAGCACAACCGGTCCCGAATACTACGTCTCCATCATGTCATTCGTCGATAAGGACCTGTTGGAACCCGGTGCGAGTGTCCTCCTCCACCACAAGTCCGTTTCTATCGTCGGTGTTCTTACGGATGATGCGGATCCTCTGGTTACGGTCATGAAGCTGGATAAGGCCCCAACGGAGTCCTATGCAGATATCGGTGGTTTGGAGTCGCAGATTCAAGAAGTTCGGGAGTCGGTCGAATTACCTCTTCTCCACCCTGAGTTGTATGAGGAGATGGGTATCAAGCCGCCAAAGGGTGTCATTCTTTACGGTGCGCCAGGTACAGGAAAGACTCTGCTCGCAAAGGCTGTTGCAAATCAAACAAGTGCAACTTTCTTGCGTATCGTGGGTAGTGAGTTGATTCAGAAGTACTTGGGTGATGGACCACGGCTTGTGCGACAACTTTTCCAGGTATGCGTCTGCAGACTCATTTTGCACTTTCCCTGGCTAACATGCGCAGGTTGCTGCCGAAAACGCTCCATCTATTGTATTCATTGACGAAATCGATGCGATTGGTACCAAGCGATACGAGTCTACATCCGGAGGAGAGAAGGAGGTTCAAAGAACTATGTTGGAGCTTCTGAATCAACTGGATGGTTTCGATGATCGAGGAGATGTCAAGGTCATTATGGCCACGAACAAGATCGACACTCTCGACCCTGCGCTTATCCGTCCGGGACGTATCGACCGAAAGATCCTCTTCGAGAACCCCGATCAAGTCACCAAGCGCAAGATCTTCACTCTACACACATCCAAGATGTCTCTGAATGAAGACGTCGATTTGGAAGAATTCATCAATCAAAAGGACGATCTTTCTGGTGCAGATATCAAGGCTATCTGCTCCGAGGCTGGTCTGATGGCATTGAGAGAGCGCAGAATGCGTGTCCAGATGGCGGATTTCAGAGCTGCGAGAGAGCGTGTCTTGAAGACGAAGACGGAGGGCGAGCCCGAGGGATTGTACTTGTAAAGGAGCTTGTTGTGGACGGAAGGAAGGGGTGATAGCTTGCTTCTCTTCGTGGAACGTGTATTCTAGAGAGATCATAATGCATCACAGACGATGATTACCTCGACTTTGAACTCAGTCTTCTATGCTTCTTTCGCGTACTTGAACCTCATGATAAGTAGCATTGGATTGTTTGTTTGCATCAGAAAGGCGCATGTCTATTTTTGTTCCTTGCTGTGACGGGTAAGACGGAGCCATTTCTATTCAAGAGCTATGCTCCATAGGGCTGCTGTCGCTTATGTAGCCTCAGATCTCGGGATGTGAAATAAGGAGCCCCGAAAAAACAGCCATTCTCCAAAAAAGAAATTTAATGGAAAACAGACAGCTCTTGCCGAATAGATGTTCCCAAATAGTCTACAGAAAGCACTTCGATATGAAATTTCTAACAGTCAGAACCTGATCTTGCCAAGCCCGTAATTGCCTCAACTTTTCCCACCTTCTCGTCAACCCCTTCCGTCTCCCTTCCACCACCCAAAACCACCGTCCAAAAAAAAAAAAACAAAAACGAAAAAAGAAGCTCTCTATTAAGAGAACCTCGGGGTTTGAGCCCGAGGTGGGTTTCGAACCCACGACCTTGAGGTTACACTACACTGGAAACACCCCTGAGGAGGATATTCCACTTTATAAGAGCCACACGCTCTACCGATTGAGCTACCCGGGCTTTGTGAACGGCTTGTTCTTTTGCTGTTCGATGGAGGGCAATTTGCTTATTTGGGTTTGTAGCGGGGGAAGTGATTTCGGCGTTTTAGGGTAGAGTAGAGAGGGAGGGGGGAGTGGAGTGAAAAATTTGATGGGAAAATTTTGTTAGCGAGTGTGGAGGGGTGGTGGGGTCACCTTTTTGGGGGAGGGGGATTTGGGTGGTGAGGGCGGTGGGAAATGAGTGTTGTTTTCTTGTAGCGGTATTGAGTTACTTCTCGAGAATCTCATTGTGATTGGGATTAGTTAGGATGTTTTCTTGTCTCTTGATACTGAACTTGTGGGAGTGTAAACAAAGTAAGCGAGAAGCACTTGGTTTTCAAAGTCGAGCTGAGCTAGGTGTCTCTTGTTTTGAAGAAATGACAAGTACTTTGTATATGACCAAACATTACTTTATTCTTAGGATATGATAAGTATCTTCTGATGAGTCAGGGACGCACAGTTGTTTCCTACCATACATCTTCCATTCCTGTTGCTCACAGCGCGATACCTTGCCACTACCCAAAAGCCTACGCATATTGCGCGCGACTTGCATCGTATGCCGGCTGCAAAGCGCTCCAATCCTGGTTGAATTTAAAATCCGTCTGGTAAGAACCATACGAAATCAATTTGACCGTATCCAACTTCGCACCCGCATCCGTCATTGCCCAGAGACTCAACGCAACCGTGTTCAAGCCTCTGTTGTTGATGACTCCCGGCGGTACGGGGAATCTGGTTTGGGGACCAATATGAGGAACGTACTTCCCATATTGATACCCGTTGACCCAGATCATGACCCTGGCTACAGTACCAGCAGGAGCGCCAAGTTCGATGCCAAGTGGAACGTCAAGATCTGAGTCGATGTTGAGATGGAATGTGGTGGTGTAGAAGCGTATACCAGAAGTGCTGAGACCTGTGGATGGACCTACGCGGTCGAAGGTAGAGTCTGGTGTGAACCCGGGAAGATGCCATCCAACTCGCTCTCCGTACAAGCCACCTTCATTCATCGGTCCACGAACAGGGTCCAAGTTCTTCGATCCTCCAGCATTGCCTTGGACCTTCCATAGGCTGAACCCAGTCGAGCCAGTGCCAGGGAGAAGTGATGCTCCTAGAATCCCGCGAGGATTCTCAACGCCCTTGGCGGTTGATGTTTGGTCGTGACCATGGTAGTCGACGACGACGGTGAGGAGATTTTCCCCGGACTTCAGGGATGCAGCTGGAAGTGTGAGGACAGCAACTGTGGTTGTAAGAGAGGCGTTGCCGACATTGCCGCCGATTAGTGCGCCATTCAGCCATGCGGACCATCCGAAGGCAAGACCTCCCGAGCAAGTGATGTTCACGGATGTGAAGTTGGTACCGGTGAAGTATCCGCGATAGATCTTAGCACCGGTGTAAAATCCATAGTCGCTTGAGAAGAGGACAGGCTTTGTCAAAGGTGCGATAGGGCTGAGGGTCGTAGATTTGTTGCACACGGCCCAGTTCTTGTCATCGTATGACGGCAGCTTCTCTGGGAGAGTGTCTGCAGAGCGCCAGTTTGTAAGAGCTGGCAGAGAAATTGTTCGATCTTTGGCTCCTGGAATTTGTGCTGTGACTGAGCCGTAGGAGGTTTTGGTAGCAGCTAGACGTATCCCGTTCCATGTGATGGTTTGAATGCTAGGATCCCCAGTGTAAACCTCAATAGTTGTGGCAATGTCACTGTCACCAGATATGTGAACCACGCCGTGGGATATAGAAGCGCTGCGGACGAGGTATGGACCTAGAACAAATATCTGCTCGTTTGGTTTGACATCTGGATTAGTGGTCGTTGCTGGAGCCCAGAATTTCCAAGCGGTTTGTTGATCGAGAAGATAGATCAACACGCTACCAAACTTGACGACAGTCTTTCCAGTGCCTTGGGTGTAAGTGAACGTTGTGCTGCTATCTGTTGACTCTGCTGCGACTTTCGTTGTCCCTTCGGTGCTATGGGTCGTGTCTGCAGTGCTGCTCTTAATGGAAAATTGGCCGACCTGACCAGGTTTGAGGTAGAGAACAAGCACGTCGACGTCGAAAGTCCCATAGGTTAAAACATCCGCCGAAGAATAAAGCAGGGTATGTTTGCCAAAAGTGTAATCAGTGACGAGGATTTTGCTTTGACGCCCATCCAGATTGATGTTTGGCACTGTGATGATACCTTCAGACGTGTTGAGCCTAGCAGAGAAAGTTACCGAATCCCTTGATTTGGATGTGGCCTGTTGCACCGTATAGAATGCAGCACCTGTATCAGGATTCCGAAGCTCCCAGGTCCAAAGTAATGGTGTTGATACCTTCAAAGATTAGTTGATAGTACGAATGATTTGGGGATTAGGCACTCACAGCATATCCGGTTCCATTGCCAACCATGTAAGTCTTGAGCAGGTCCGTGGATACCCGCGTGAATAGACTGATGAGCTTAGTCTGAGAGAATTTGTCCTGGATTTGCCGCGTCTCTCTTAGAGGAGCAGAATAATCGTATGACGTGTACACAACAGGCGCGGCGGCTTTTAAGCCATCAGTAAAAGAAATCTCATCATGGGAGGTACTCACAATGGCCCCAGTTGGTTCCTCCCCAAGCCATGTAAAGACTTAAAAGTGTGGTTCGCTGCCCGATGTTATTCTTGTAGTAGACGTCTGCAAATGCCGGATCATGTTCTGCAGCACAATCGTCGTAGAAACTACCTCCCCATGGTGTGAAGTAGCCAGCCTCGAACTCTGCCAAGTATTCTGGTTGCGTGTAGGAATAATTTTGGAACCATTGGTAATAAGTCCTGACAAGATTGAAGCCAGTGTTGACATTGGTGCATGAAAATCCGCCGGGATATGAATCGAGGGCGTAAACATTTACTGCACCTCCAACATTCTTTGGTGAAGTTAGCTTTTTCATACAGATATGAAAAGTGTGATGATTTTCCAAATTCTCTCAACAAAGAAAGCTTTAATGTTTTGAAGACCGGGGCGAATTTTGAACATACCTGATAGTCTGTACTCCAAGACATCGATCGCATACCCTTCTCATTGTGTGTTGAAGGGACCGTAACACCAGCATTTAAAAAAGCCTTCTTGATTTGCTCCATATAAACAACCAGGGTGTTTGTTGCCACATGGCTCGTTTCTTGAAGCTCATTCTCATGCTGATTCAAGATGACCGGCCCTCCCTTTGTGATTTCATTCCGTGCAATGATCTCTCCAATCTGGGTTATCCATGGCAACCAAGCCTGATAGTATGTCGAATCGCCTGTCCGTAGATTCCCTAAACTCCCGTCGGATCCCCAAAGAGCCAAACCTCCTCCATTTGTCTCCGCGTTGCAGTAGGGCCCGGCTCTCGCAATCACCCAGAGCCCTGCTTCTTTAGCATAGTCGAAGAGCTTTTGGACATTCTTTCCTGAGGTTTCGAAGTCATAGACGCCTTTCGAAGGGGAATGGTAGGACCAGAAGAAGTAGACGCTGCCTGCGTTAGTCAAGTTAGGAGCTGCATATAGGAACGTACCTAATAGTATTGAATCCGTTCGCTTTGAACTTGTGAAAGATGTCCAGCCACTGGTCGAGAATTTAGTAAGTCGAATCCTCAATACCTCCGGATCAGAGCCAAGTGTTCAATTCCAAAATCAGATGTGGAGTAATTCGGGGTTCGAAATAACTTACCATTTCAGGCACGGGCATCCGTTGATAGTGGAACTCCCCGGAGCTTAAAGATGTAAGTCTCTACGCAAAGCACTTGTCAGTCCGGGATACGCACAAAATGAAGACCCTGCTCCCATTGACAGTCAAACTGTACGGATCCCATGTTACTGCGGTCGTCAGGCCATTATCTGTTGCAGTGCCACTCCAAAGGAGGGTTGAAAGCACAGCAAAAAGGTGCAAGAAGCGCATTCTCAAGGACTGGGAGCTGCCCAAAATTGGCAAGGTACTGCATTGTATCTCTTAGTGGGGTTTGGCATTAGCTTTATAGCATTGTGACTGCATGGCAAATGCTACTTTGCGATCAGGAGTTTCGCTGCTTTCCATGACGAGCCGTGTCCTGCCATCTACAATACTACAGCACTACAGTCTTGTACGTGATGGTACCCCCCGCTTGGCAGGTATAATTGGATTCTTCCAGCAATCAGAGGGCCTGCTTTTGCCTCCAGTGCATCTAGCATGGTTGGCGCGCATACCGGATGAACTGGAAAGGATGGATGGAAGCGGAGGCACAAGTAGTTAGATCTGGCGGGGATGGATGGGGAAGGTAATAAAGGTACGGAGAAGTGAAAATTAGCTCGACTACCCCAGCTTAAGAGGGCATCAAGATCTCGGCAGGAAATGCGCCGAGGCATACTGTAACCACGTGCCAGGTACCGTCCTTGGCGGCTCAACCCCTCATTTTGGGATGGAATGGGATGGGATCCTGGACTGGACCTCATTGTCTGTTGTGGCAAAGCATGCTTACGGATACAAGGAAATCGGATGTGGAAGATGGCGGGCGAAGTTATGTTATGGAAGTCATGCCTAGTTCGACCATGGCCAGGTCAACACTTCTTTTCAACAGCATTTCCGTGCTTAGAAATTCAAGCTGAGCAAAGCTCAATTCAATACATTAGGTAATCATCCGTTTGAATCATTCTTATATTCGTTTACTTTGTTGCAATTCGCAAAAGTAAAGGTTATGTTTACCATCTCTAAGCGAGAGTTCCAGAGCTGCCACCGAAGTTTCTTGTTCGGAATATCGCCAAGATCTACTCGTAACATGCACACATGAAGGCTACATTCTTTGCCACTTGGGCTTGCGTACCACGTAAATTGAACTTCATTCAGTCTGGCTCGGGTGATTGCCCAGAAGCGGTAATAACATACATAGCGCCAAGTATCAGCCAATAACCGGACTGAGCTTGTCTCAACCCTCACTCTGGTTGTGTTTGGCATCGCAGCAACCAAATATATGAACTTCCTCGAATCTTCACCTGCTTGCAATGATGTTGCCTTGGCCAACATAAG